GCTCCACGTGTCCCCTCTGCTCCCCCCGGAAGCAGCCGCGCTCACATGCCCGGACAAGTCCCGCCGTGGCCACGCCCCTTAGCTCCCCATTGGCTGCGCGGGGTGTATTTGCATGCGGAGGGGCGGGGCCCACGGTCGCGGCAGGGCGGGGCGGGGCCGCCGCCACCACCGCCTCGCTATAAGGCGCCTCGGCTATAGCGCGGGAGCTGTCGGGGGGCTCGGAGCAGCGCTGTGGGTACCCGCACCCCAAGGCTGGGTGCACCACCATCGCTTGCACCCCCAAAGCTGAGCGCAGCAGCGCCGCCGCCGGCACTCACACCCCAAAGCTGGGCTCTCAGCCTGCCCCACCTGGTGGGAAGGGACCCCTCTGGGGGGTGGGGGTGCGCCCAGCCCCACACCCCGGAGCTCAGCCCGGCACCAAGACGCTGCAGTCTTGCTGTGCGCTTGCTGGGGTGCAGCGGTGACCCTGTGGGCATCCCTTCTCCTGCCAGGGGCCTTTGGGCTGCTGGCTGGGGCGGCACAGCGATAGGTTGGCATCCTCCAGGCTCTCCCATGGTGCTCCCCAGGGTTGTGGGGGGGGCAGCTCTGGCCGGGGCATGGGTGCAGATGGAGTTTCAGACCAGCGTCTCGTTGCTTCACTCAAAGCTCACGAAAGCAACGGCTGAGGTGGTCAGAAGCAGGGAATGGCCACGGGCAGCCCCAGCCACCAGCTTGTCCCCGTGCCTTTGGCATCGCCGGAGAGGCCGCGCACCCTAGGGCAGACTGTGACTTGTTGTGGTGGGATGAGCCATACAACAACAAAATCACTAGTCTTCCAGAGGGAGCCAGGCACAGCATCCATCCTTGTCCTGCTGGACCCCACGCTGAGCATCCCCTCTCCCCACCACCAAGGGGGATGGCAGGGACACAGGACAAGAGTTTTCATGCTCTGTCATTCCCCCTTTTTGCCACCTGTGAGCTTTTTCTGCCTAGGCAAAAAGAAAAGATTTAGATCACCCTGCAATTTATTTTTCCTTATTCCTTTTATGTTTTTCTTCTGGCTAGTAAACCTCTTCCTTAAATCTGCTGCGCTGTGTTTTGCATTTATTGCTTCAGTCCCTGCTGTTCAGCTAATTAATTCCCCTAATGAGAGTTGTTCAAGTGTCCCACAATAACTTGCTAGAGAGCCCTGGCAGGCCTTGATGGAGAAATTTCTACTTGTTTCTGGAATTTTTGGTGAAACTGTGCAGCACAGCTCTCAGGGAAGGTTCATTTGGGGTTCCTGGGCTACTTTGCCTCATTTTTCTCCACTAAGTAAGCATGTGAGTTGACCATCACAGCACAAGTGGGAGCAGGGTTGAGCCCTGGTGTGAGAGAAACTGGCTCGTGTTACCCATTGTATTTCTCCACCAGATCCAGGCAGACAAGGAGGTGGCATCTCCAGCTGCTCTTCTCCCTCACACTCTGTGGCGGGACAGGAGATTCAAGCACCTCAACTGGTGCTTCTTGGTTGATACCTTCTCCCTGGATGTGTTGCTGTTGCACTCATGGGTCTGATCAGTCTTGGTTTGTCCACAACCAACCTATCCATCTCCCCTTATCTTTGCTCAGTGACACCTTCTTTTCTAGGATTTAGGTTTTGCAAGGAGCACACAACTCCACTTGGCAGTGTGAAATTTTAGCTGTACTGTCATGATTATAGGAAAACCTCAACAGGTGAAATTCTGGTCACATGGGGAGGAAGGGAAAAACTTTTTCTGGTTTCTCAAGGCCACTATAGCCCAGGCTGCAAGGGAACAGTGGTGCAATTTTTGTCCCTTATCCCAGATGCAAGGATGAAGGTGGAGAAGTCAAAATAGCTTTTAGATGGATTCATCTGTGTACCATAGGCCTCCTTTGATCCTTTGGGTCACCAGAATGTGGTTTTCACATCACCTCCAGCTTCAGTTTCTGCAGGGAAAAAACAGCAGTGAAGTGTTTCCCCCTGGGAAAAGTTGCAAAAAAGGTCCAGCAAGAGGGGAAACACAGGCAGTGGTGTTCCTGCTGGGATCTGCGCTGGAGTCTGCACGCAGTTACAAGCACCAAGGGAGAACCCCAGCCATGCCAAGGGTACGGCTTGCACCACCCCCTTGGGAGAAGCCTTGTGCCCAGCAGGGATGCCACTCATCTCCACAAGGTCCTGTGTCCTCACCGGGGACAGAGGGTTTGGCAGCAGATGGTAGAAATCCCATTTCGGATGTGGCAGATGAGCCGAGAGCTGAGATGAAGGCAGAGCGTGCCAGAGCCCGGGAGAGGTTTCTGTGGTGTTTGCACAATTTGAAATAATAACGAAATCTGTAAAACTCTGGGTAGAGCACGACTAGAATAACAGGCTAAATTTGTCGGATGAATAATTTACTAGAAGAGATTGGACCCGCTCCAAGTGAGACGAGCACCAGCCTGATCTCAGGCAGTGCAGCCTGGGTAGCTCTGTCCTCAGCTGGGAGCTGGTCCCGCTCCTGCCACCTGGTCATTGCTCCTGCAATAAAAGCCAGTCTCCAGCCAAGGTGCCTGTCCCTGGGTCACCACTGCCCAGGGCTGCAGGGCTTCCTGCAGAGCTCATAGTCCCCTTTCCCTGCAGTTTATTTTCAAGGTGCTGCTTTGCAGAGCGGAGGTGCTGGCAGTGAGCGTCTGTCACTGGCTCTGAGCTCATTGACTCACCTGTCCTCTGCCTCTTTGCCTTCTCCAGCCAATTCTCTGTCCTCAGCTGTGGTGCCAAGTGGATGGAGGAACAGACATCTTGACATTTGGGATGGGAAGGGAGATGAAGTCTCAGCGCTGGGAGGAGGTGGTGGCTGTGGCCGCGGCAGCCAATTAACATGATCATGTTTATGAATGTGGATCAGTAATTCCAGGTAAACTCCCTGAGAGCACTGCTGCGAGCAAACAAAGCCTCCTGCCCACCCAGGAGCCCACTGGTGGCCAACAGTCCCTACCAGTGCCAGCATGTTCCTGCTGTGACTCTAAACTGCCTCATTTCCCGGTCCCAGCCTGGACACAGCTCATTTTGCTCATATTAGCACAATGCTGGAGCTCACGCCCATCTTTACAGGGTTGGTTGCACCCATTCCCACCCTGGATCTCTCTGCCTCCTCTCTGCTGTGGGGGGAATGAGGACCTCAGGGATAAGGTAACTTGGAGAAGGCAGCAAGGACCCAGCTTTGCCTCCACAGGTGATGAGGGACCACTTCACCTTCCTGGGCTTTGCTGGCTGCATGGCACCTCCCCATCGCCCACCCATGGGTTGGGGCACCCTTCAAGCTGCTCCCATCATTCCAAATAGTCTTGCAGCAGGGCTGGTTTGTGCCCATCGGCATCTATAAGATCAAACAGAAGCTGAGAAGCTACAAAAGTAGGTCAGGGCTGTGGCCAGTCCCTTGCTGGACCTGGTTTCCTTTAGACAAAGGAAGTCTCACCATGAAGGGAGCACCTGGAAACACCACTGCCATCCTTCGGTGCAAGGAACTGGCTGCAGCTGCTGGTCTCAGGTGTCCAGCGTAAGGTTATCAGGACAGGCACTGTGTCACTCCCTGGCTTTTGCCATGATGGGTCTCAGAGCACTGCAGCCCTCTTGCTCCACAGCAGAGGTCCAGCACAGGGATCCCCCTGCGACCTCTCCTTTGCCATTCCTCAGTCCCCTCTGAAGAGAGGAAAGCAGTTCATCCTCCAGCATTTGGCCACTCCTTGGCTTCTCTGCTCAGTGGATCTGGGCTGGGACTGGGCACGTGTTTCAGACTTGAGCTCAACTGCCTTAAACCTGAAGGGCAGGAAGGCAAGAAGTGTGTGGATGTTAACATCGGCCACAGAAGCCAAGGGTTTCTGGAGTCGTCTCAATCAATGAGTGCTTTCCTCATTCCTGCTTTACACCCTTGATACCTCAGCTGTAGCTGGTCTTTTGAGTTCCTCAGCCTGACCACACTGGTGCAAAACTTCCAGGAGACTGTACCCCCCCTGGTTAAGGATGGGGACGGACTGGGTACGACTGCACCTGATGAAAAGTCCTGCTTGGAAAGCAGAAAACCTTTTTCTTTCACTTGGAGTACCAACAGTCTCCCTTTTCCTCTCACACCTCCTCCACTGCTCTGTGGGAATTGCCTGTATCCCTCCAACACGGACAGACCTCCTCCTCAGCCATGTCCTGGCAGGTCCTGGTGCTCTGGGGATGCTCCCAAAGCAGGAGGGAGGGCAGATGATGCTGCCATACGGCTCCCCCCTCACTCCCCATTTTCTGGCTCGCCCCCAGGAGAGCAGTAAGCAATTATGGGCCACGCAGAAGCTTCATTATCGCCCTGTCGTGGCCTCGTTTGACGAGACATTTTATTGCCAAACTTATTAAAAGTGAAACGTGCGGTTTCTGCGCAGCAATTTCCTGTCTGCAGTGATAAGCTGGGCTCTGCCCGCTGTGTAATAAACAGTTATTTTTATGTATGGTTCTGGCTGGGACGACAAGGAGGAGAGAGGGCCTGGCTTGTGTTAATTGCGATGGTTAATGAGATCTATTTTGGGAGTGATGTGTGAGGAGGTGTGTGCCCTCTCCCTGCCACCACTCTGCCTCTGGTGGCTTTGTGCTCTGGGTGCTGGCAGCGGGGACTGTGCAGGATCTCCTCCCTGGGATGCATGGGGGCAGCATGCTGGGAGGGGGATTAGTCTGAGACCCCCTCACCTTCTCATCTCAGCCCTTTGTCACAGCTGGGAGCAAACAAGGGACCTGCTGTGCACCCCCACAGTGTGAGGCTCCATCCCATGCAAGGGCTACCCCTGAGCCCCACTGATCCCAACCGTGTGTGATGCTGGAGCCCCAAAACCCAGGGGCTTTGCTCCCCAGATCCTCCTGTCTACCCGAGAACCACTCTGTTTGTAGTGGCATTTCCAAGTGATGCTGGTGGCCAAAGCCCAGGGCATCCACCACGTCACCTCCCAAATGTCCCTCCTTGGGCACCTGCAGCAGGTGGGTGCTGGAGAGGAGATGGCAGGAGCAATAAATTCAAAAGGCACACAAATGTCACAGTAAACCTGCTGTTGCTGCTGGGCTGGGACCAGCAAAAAGCTGATAAATATAATTTCATTTTGTCAGAAACAAAATGTCCTCATTAGGTGTGCGGTCTGTATTTTGGTTTAATTATATCTTTTTAATACGTTTTGAAAGGAAACAGCTTTTTTAAATGCAACATGTCAAAACTGTGTTTACAAAAATCCTGACTGCTTTTCTTTTTTCCATACCTGGCCAAAGCTATTAGTTTAACTCAACCT